ACACATGCACACACGCGCATACAGACACACACTCGTACGTACACAAACGTACACGCACACACATACACACACACACGTACACACACATGCACACACACACACACACACACACACACACACACACACACATATACCTATGTCTGTCTTTGAAAGATACTGTTTGTTGCTTCTTCATGTTTAGATTTCCCAAACAACTTCCTTGTGCGCTGTTCATAACGTTTCATTTTCATGTAATTTTCCATTCCTAAAAATCTTCGAGTATAGCGACAGCGTGATATGCTTTCACGTGTAAAAACTCTGCACTTTGTCGCTTTTGAGGACAAGCGGGCTAACCCAGATTTCAGGGGTTTCCAGAAATCTTGACCTAGATCTACACCAAAAGTGAGCATTGCCCTACCTATAGTAGACATTTGGTTTCATTGGTGTGTATATTTGTTTGGTTATAGAGAAAACTCCCCTTGTCTTTTAAAGAAGCTGAACAAGGGGCAAAAACTTTACTTTCGATTTTCTCAAAACAACATTTTTTGGGATAGCCTCCTTGTGCTTAAAAGCGACCACATTTTTCACTCGTTTATTCTAAAACGGTGTATTACAAAAAGGATAATATTTCTATTGCTACTTTTTCAATTTCTGTCGTTTGGAAATAAAATGTACTGCCATTGTACAAGTCAAGTACATCCTTGTTTTGTGAACCACAACTCTGTCGCCACAATTGTTCTTTCCAGCTGTCTATTGATTGTCCACGCCTGTGCCACTGGTAGGTCCTACTTTTAATTCCTTTCCTCTGTTGTTTCCGTCGGTCTGTCTGTCTTTATTGCTTTTTAACCCCCCCGCTTTCGGGTCGTGCTACTGACTGAAGTGTCTTTAGGCCATTCCCAAAGGAGGGGACATCACCACGTTCTTTTGCAAAGTAGAACGGTTATTGTAAATGGGCTGATTCATCAATGGCATGCTCATAACTGTGCCGGAATTGCAACAGGGAACTGCCGCTTTTTCTTACTTCATCCTTACTATCTTCATTTTTTTTCTCTACTTCTTTTATATGCTTGTCACTCTCTTATGACCCTCTATTTCCGGGATGTTTTGATAGTCGAAGCGGACTTTGTGCTGTTGAAGCTAGAGAGGTGAGCAGAGGAAGTCTGATTCGCTGTAAGGACTTCTCTGTTCACATCCACCCCTTGACGCTCATATGACCTTATGCAGTTTCGAGCGCCGTAAAACCTCTACTAAAACTAAAAACTGTTCTTATCCTTCTGTTACTGTTATGCTTCTTTCATTTGTCTCGTCTCTGCCTGACTGTTATAGATGAGTGGGTGGTTGGCAGGTGCTCTGGTGTGGTTTGCTCCTTCTTTCCAGTCAAACGTAAGTCGTCCTTATCTCCCCTCGTTCTTTTTGTCGCAGATCTGGCACTGGATGATGATGGTGATTATTGAATGATTTGTTTGAGTAAAGAGAACCATATCGACACAACTATAATAATGAACACCATTGTGTCGATGTGCTTCTGTTAACTCTAACAAACATCCCTTAGTGGGTGGTTGGCGGGTGCTCTGGCGTTGTTTGCTTCTTCTTTCCTATCAAACATCTATCGTCCTTATCTCCTCTTCTTCTTTTTTATGGTTGTTACTCTCTTGTAACA